CATGTGATCCTGATCTGCCCGCCTCGGCCTCCCAAAGTGCTGGGATTACAGGTGTGAGCCACCACACCTGGCCGTAATATTTGTTTCTTATCACTGAGAATGTTTTCTCTTCAAGTGAGAGATACAAATAGCTAAACCAGAAAATGGAGTTTATCAAAATACCATATTTTTATTTATAATCTCCAGGAAAGATCCTTCTGAAAATAATTAACTACTTGGTTTTGTTTCGGTTTATAACATTGTTTCATTGGCTCTATCTGTATCACTTACAAAATTTTAAGAAGGAAATTTAAATTTAAAAATTATCTGGTAACAGAAAGTACGTTTCATATATTTAACTTGCATCAAAGGACATTCAACAATGAACACATGCTTTGTGAGAAAAAATTTGCATAAGAAACAAAACTAAATGAAATTTACATTGCATACAAGAATAATCTCAATTAGAACCATGTGCTTTTCTACTGAAATAAATGAGTATGAAACTGTTGACAGATTTTGACAATATTATGTTTTCCACACCACTTGTACAAGTGTTTATCCTGTTTTTTCAAACGATTACAAGTTGTTACGTATATTCTAAAGTGTATTATATATGCTGTGAACGCTATTTTGGTAAAGTTGCTTATTTCTTACTATCTTTTCTAGCAGAGCACATCTTAGGTGTCAGTGCTGGCATCTTCAATGGACAGGAACATGGAGCTTAAAGGAAATACCAAAGTTTATTCAGTTAATATTTGAAGAGTTGAGACTAGACTTTAGCTTTGTTTGACTCCTAATCCTAAAGTATCTCCATTAAAAATATTTTCCTTGAACAAGCTGACAGACTTCTCTTGGAGAGAAGTCTGGCAAGATAGGTTTACAAGATGAGAAAATACAGCACTTTTATTCATTATGTTGCCTTCTCTCATTCATCTGTGAAGCACCCGAAGTTAAAACATCAGTTCCGATATCCAGTGACTGATACGGGCTACAGGAGTGGGAATTTCCTAACACCATCCTCAGAGGGGCCACTTTCTGTTCACCAGTTGCATAATTGGGTAACGTTTGGGAGAGTCTTCGGCTATGGAAAGGAGTAGAATAAACTGCATTCTACTGAAAAGTATGGCAACAGCCTAAACAAGAAGAAAAACACTTGCCCGAGAGAGACTCAAGTGAAACACCGTGTGATTTCTAGGAGGGAGACTGAACCTGCTAAAGCAAATTGAATTTATTTCTTTTTCTTTTTCTGTCTGGTGAAAAGCGTGTTGTCTTAACAAATTTCATTTATCCTGTACACAGTCATCCCTCTTCTGCTGCTTTCCAGCACAGTCCATTTTCTATTCCACATCAGCTAAACAATCACCACCATAGAAACAACACATTATTCTTGGTATCTGCCTATTTGGTGAAATATGCCTATTATTCAAGTGCAACCTACATTTCATTTAGAGTACCACTCAAAAGGACGGTGGAGGCTCAATCTGAATTTTACGAAAGCTACCATCAAAAGGATGTCTTGGGAGGGACCTGCCACAGGGAAAACACCAATGTTCCTCACTGTCTTCTTCACAAAAGATGAAGATTGAATGCAACACTCACAATCAACTAGATATGGCTGTGGTCAGGGCCTTCAATCAAGAAAGGACAATTTTTTGCTCACACATTGTATCCATGGCAGCTACGCAGTGGTGTTGGGCTCACTGTAGTCACACAGGGACACTGGCTGGTGGAGCGGCCATCGCAAATATTTCCATTCACTATATACAGCACAAGAGGGAAAAGGAGCTAGCAAAATTCTACAATGTGCATTTGAACACTTTAGCTTGGAAGTGGCACATATCACTTCTGCTCCCACAGTCCTGAGGCTCTGCCCCAGCAGAAGAGACCCATGGGTACAGCCCCATCATGTACCCCGAAAGCAGTGGGCTGGAAATATTTAGCCACACAGTGATGATTAACAAACAAAGAACATATTCGGCCGGGTGCGGTGGCTCACGCCTGTAATCCCAGCACTTTGGGAGGCCGAGGCAGGCGGATCATGAGGTCAGGAGATCAAGACCATCCTGGCTAACACAGTGAAACCCTATCTCTACTAAAAAATACAAAAACTAGCCAGGCAAGGTGGTGGGCGCCTGTAGTCCCAGCTACTTGGGAGGCTGAGGCAGGAGAATGGCATAAACCCGGGAGGCAAAGCTTGCAGTGAGCTGAGATCCGGCCACTGCACTCCAGCCTGGGTGACAGAGCAAGACTGCGTCTCAAAAAAACCAAAAAAAACAACAAAGAACATATTCAATGCCTAAACAATTTACAACGAAACCAAGAGGGGGAAACACTGTCAGATGATCAGAAGGAAAGTAGCAATTCTTGAAACATGAAAAAATAAAAGTTTTAAGGACA